CCACCAATGAAAGCCAGTGGCATGATTTCATGTTCCAGAGGCGCTGCCAAAAAGTGTAATGTATGTGTGTGTAGGATGTTGAAAAGAAGGGAGGGGGGCCAGTTCTGACAAAATAGGGCAGTGGTGAGGAAATGACAGCCACAAAAATGCTATTGACTGCAATAAAAGGCTCAAATAAAGAACGTCTGCAGAGGTGAAGGCATGATTAATAACATTTACAAACATCTCAGATGAATCCCACACTAAGCTGTAACACAAGAGAACTCTGTCCTGCTAACACCAAGTCACCTTGCGGTTTCATCCTTATAAGACACCATAACGCAGACGCCACTTTAAATAACGTCTCGGCAGAAGTTAGCTACAGTATAGGAGCTGATTTTACCACGGCTTTCCTGCTGTTGGGGGAGAGATTCTGCTGTGGCACACAGAAGTCAGCCGTTTAACAGTCCTGCAGCCCTTACAGGAACCTACAGGAACCAGAGAGGAAGTGCAGGAAAAAACTGTGTACATATATATGACCGACCTCTTTTCCTCCACTTCCTCTACTGCTTATATTTGCTGATTTCAGAGCATCTCACCGTGACAGTTGGGGCTAGGCTTGGAATACAGGAGATTTAAAAAAAAAAGGTCCAACAAATTGAAGACAATTGATTTGAATTCGGCAAATTAGAAGCAACTTCACAGATATGTCTCCTTCTAACCACAAAACATGCATAAACAATATTATGTGAAAATAATGGCACAGCGCTCGCAACAGGAAATGAATTAGATTGTCACGTGTGACAGAGTGAGGCATCACAAATCTATTCTGGATCTCACAGGGATTCAGACGTAGACAGCACAGAGACTGTCAACAACTAGTGATGTTCAGATCAAACTTTTTGGTTTCTGAAACTGATCTGATATCAGGGCTTTGGGTATCTGCTGATACTGATACCGGCCGATCTGAGCTGATCCGCTCCCAAACCAGTGTTAAAATAATTACCTGTATTGCTCACTGTGAGGCTGAGACTAGGAATCATTCATGTGTAAGGCAGTATCAGGTTTTCCTAACTAAACAAATACATATAACCTGTCAAGCCTGCGTCTTGCAATGGCATCACTCACATACTGCTCTCACAGTAAACGCTCGTTGACTACGGGCTGCATTGTATGTGTAAAGCTAAGCTGCGAACTTCCATGTTGTCCATGGCTTTTTCATGTTGCTAGCATTGACTGTGAAGATTACTTTTTTTTTTTTTTTACATCCATCAACTTTGCTAAGTTTTCTCACACGTTCCGCTTAGACTCTATAGCATAGAACTGAAGTGAATAGATCTGCCTCTGCCCTTGGATCGGCCCATTGTCACTGTTACCAGATAGCTATTTCAGTCAGTATCAGACTGGTATCCGATGCCAGGATCAGATCGGTGCATCCCAAACAACAACCTGCTTGTTATGCTTGCAGTGGGACTACAAAAACAAAAGCAGAAAACTTAACACACCTGGGTGAAAAGATTCTTTGGCAGACCCAGTCAATATGATTTGGGGACCAAATTGTACATAATATTGCTGTCAACCACAGTATGCTAGCTGGCATTCGCCTCAGAGTCTAGAAAGCTGCTTGGTAACACGGTCAGCTGCTCAGTCTACTTTCTCTCTTTGACAGTGATCTCACCCATAAATTACATAATAAATATCAAACATTGTTTGATAAAACAAGGTTTACGACTGGGTCACTGAACAATTTGTTTAAACAGAAAATCAGGTCGAACATTGGCCCTAAATTGGTCCTACATCACATTTGTTCTTGCAGCTATCTGGACGCCCATTAGCACAGAGACCTCTCCCTCTTTTCAGACAGATCTAAAAGAAGAGGGGTCGCATGTTGCTTCATGTTGATCAACTTCTGAGCACAGCTTGGAGCCTTTTGTTTTCAGAAACTTCATACTTGGCGCATTGAATGGCACAAACAACATTTCTTCTCCTACAGTTCTGTGGTTTGTTCGCTAAACGCTGTAACTGAATGGATACTAAATTGACCAGACAAGACCCCAACACTGTTGGTGGCAAAGTGGCAGCGAAGTGGAGTGGGCTCTTGGGTTCAGTCAGGGGCCAGTCGGTTAGGGCGGGTAGGGGGGGGGCAGGGGCTGTTGAGCACAAGGCCAAACCAGCCGGGGTGAGTGTGTAATAGTGGGCACAGTTTCCGGACTGGGGCTGGGCATATTGGCCTGGCTGGTCGGGCAGAGTAAAGCAGACTGGCAGGGGGTAAACACTTCACTGTCTGCCCTGGCAAAAGCTGTGGTGCCAACGCGAAGCACCCAGCTGTGTTCAGGCCCAGTTGAGGCTCTGTCAAGATGCAACAATGGGCTTTCCCTTCTCTAATTATAGTCCTGGCAGAATAAAAACAGAGGAAAGATTGGTCAAGAGGCTGGCTGGAAGACAAAAGGTCATAGACAAAGGTTCCTGCCATCCTCTCTAGATTGTCTCTCTTCCTAAAACTTTGGGAAACAGGTCAGTCAAACTTTTTATTATTGTTTCAATGATATATAAAATGGGAAGCTCATAGGTCCATACTTTGGCTGGATCCTATGAAGTGTGGATTTTTGGTACTCAGGTGACCTTATTACTTAACTAGCTTAGCCACCTGCCATGTAGCCACATTCTGGATCTGAATCTAGCCCAATTACATTACCTTTCCGGCCAGCATCGATTCTTTCTCATCTGTCTTTGTTGAACATAAAATAGCAATCTTGAAAAAAATGTCCTAATTATTCAGGTTCTCAATCTTTGCCTTCATGACCTAGACCTGGAACCTTATAGTCTCCAAAATTGGCATTCTTTTGAATGTTTGAACTACAAAGTACTTTTTTGGCTTATGTTGATGAGTCTGTGTTTAGAATGGGTCAATGACTTCAGTGGAATCTCTTCATGACATACAGCCAAAAAAAAAAATCATGTTTAAGAACTTAAAAGAAACGTGTGTAAAATATCCAGTCCCATCAAAAACATTCAACACCTCCTTTTCAAATCAAGGACATCTATTATTTATGTGTTATTTTTTTCTTTGCCATCCTAGGCAATCGGTTTCCATTATGATTATAGTAAATGGTAAATGGACTTGAGCTTGTATCGAGCTTTTCTAGCCTTGTGAATACTCAAAGTGCTTTTCACACCTACCCATCCTGATGGCATCCCCTGCCATCTAAATTCAGAAGTAACTTTTCCCATTCATACACATTTATAGTTGTTGACGCAATGGGGTGTCTTTCCCAAGGACTCATTGGACATGTGGCTGCAGGAGCTGTGGATCAAACCCACAACCTTCCGGTTGAGAGAAGACCGACTCTACCAACTGAGCCACAGCAGCCGTAGTGGTAAGTAGTAAGCAACCAGTTTAACCATTACAGTTTCCTTGGTTTCCCTTTGGAACTGTTAACTGCTTCCCCTACATGAACAAATCGCCTCAGGCCGTTAACTGGTGAGTGAAGCCATCAGTGACAATGATGAATTCTTAGCTACGGTCAGAAGCAGTGCCGAACTTTAGGTCAGCTTTCAGATCTCAGCGTAAATATGCATCAGCAAGATAGCAGCAAGCATCACCAAATAAAGTGCACCATTAGCATGTCTATGCGGCACAAGGGCTCCTTTAATTATGAATGGCTGCTCTCTTTCTGTCACTGGGCATGCACAGGATAAATGAGACTATAGCCCCCCCCCCCCCATTCATCCTCAGGGAATGTTGGTACATTCCATTAAGAGGAACACTTAATTAAAGCATGATAAAATACCATTTGGAGACTCCAGAGGGGTCTGGGCACTGCAGGGAGGGGGATAGGCAGGCGGTGAGAGACAAGAGAGGAAAGGATTCACCCTAACTCTCCCAGAAATGGGAAGCAAGACTCAAAATAAAACAAAATCATCCTTCCACGAATTGTCTCTGCGACCACAAAAGATCAAAGATAAATTCTTAAAAAGGACTTAATTAAGTCAGGAAGTTGTCTTTAAGTTGGATGTTTGGACTTTTTTTATAGACAATAAACCGTTCTGCTGCTGGCTCATGGACATTAAACCTGATAGTTTTGTTGTGCTTGTGACATAGACATGTCTTCTATGACATCATTTACAGGCAAATATCAATTATTCCTCTTTCATTTTAGTTGTATCACCAGATGTTAAAATTGTCTATGGACAGAGGTGGGCAAAGTTAATAAAACATGTAACTTTGTTAACGTCTAATCCATTAACAAATATGTTAACTTCGATAGCACTTCTTCAGTTATTGTCGTTTATAATTAACTAGTTAAAAGTTCAAATTGCCTGTGCTGAATGTGGACACACACTGCGCCTGTCGAGTGTTTATATAGCAGTTTTAGCTGACGCAGGCTACATAATAACTTTATCTCCACTTCCTAGAGCAAAACACTGCCAAACCGAGCAGCTCCAAAGGGACACTGTCTGTACACTCTGCTTGTTTACATCCTTGCAAAAGAAAGAGCTGAGAAGGCCTGATAACTGGGGCCACAGCCAGTCTATGGCTACAGCCTTGGGTGGCAGTGTTACAGCGTAAGCACAAAATTTGATCGTCATTGAGGACGAAACATAAAACATGAATAGCTTGTTTAACCGACTAGTAATTCTGGTCCCATCCAGTCAGCTAGTCCCACAAATCTCAATTTAGTTCAACACTCTAAGGTGTCACTATGACTTGATTCTGAATAACATATTGTTTGTAAAGATACCGAGATGCTTCAACATTTTATGTCAAGACTCAATTCACCTCCAGTGGCATCTCATTGCATGTCCTGCATCCAGCTCATACAATACTTTATGTGGATGTAAAATGATGCTTTGTGTAGTGTGGTGCATGTTTTTCCACTGTCCTTAAATCTATATCAACCATGTAGTTTTATGAAGATGAATTACCATAAATGACCTGTGCAGGTTAGTTACCAGCTGCAATTCTTGATAAACTGGCACTTGCAAAAACTCCAAAAAGTTAGGAACCATTTTTTTTTTACCTTTCCCAGCACAGTGAGACAACTGGGGTCCAGCTCTGGTTGCTCCAGCTTCACCACTCCGACCCAGCCATACTCATACAGGTCCTCCTCATCATTATTGTTACATAGTCCCAAAGGATGCATCTGAGGAGGAGACAACAGAAACGTGTAAGTATACATATCACAAGGAAGACTCTTGGAATAACTCAAAAGAAAACCACAAAACTCAAACATAACTGATTTAACAAAAACTGGGAAAACATTTTATTTACTTGTCAAGCAATTCACAGTTATGTGTCTGAAGTTGCTAATGAAGAGAAACAATAAGAGATCATATGGCAAATATTTCAGAAGAACATGAAACGCTGCCCCACACGATGCAAGAGGTTCTTGGCTTCTTTGGCTTATGGATTTGCTACCCCCGGCTTCGACCCCACAACCTCTCCTCGTTTGAGGGAGAACCATAATTTATAATCCACCTGTCGCCTGTTTTCATGATGAAAAAGTAAGAGTTTAAGAGCATTAGGTGCCACCAAAGGATTCGCTGTGTGCGGCAAAATCACGCAGGATCTAAAGATAGAGTGAAGCATTCCAGCAGACCTCTCAAAGAAAAGAAGCAGACAAGCAAAACTGGGATTAACGTGCTTTCATGGATCGCCTGACGGGGCATTTTTCACAGCATTTCTACTTAAGGAACAGTGGGTTATGTCCACTTCGACATTTTCTGCGGCAAATGACAAAGAGTGGTGCTATTGCTATTGTGTAGGAACATACTTGCACACATACTAGGAATATTTAATCTTATTTTAGAGGATGCTAACAATCTGTGTCTTTCTGACTACCTTGTGCCATCCTCTCATTAAACTTAAGGCCTCTTAATTGACCCAGTTCTTTGTGCCAAAAGGTTTTCCAGAGCAATTGCCTAGACAGACAACCTATCACCTATAGTGACTCACTCACTGATTGATCCATGGATTCAAAGTCTATTTATGAATCAGTACATACTTCAGGATCTACTCCAATCATCTGTGAGACTGGCTGAATTTCTTGTTGCTCTATTTGGCATTCTTCTGAGTTTAAGAGCTAGCCTTAGCACTTTAGCAGGGAGTGACTGATTAGCCCCCCAAAAAATTATTAATTCGATTTTTGGAAGTTATGAATCGATTTTAAATCTTACAAAAGAAGAATCTCGATTTTTACATACATTTTTTTCCCCCACCTCTAAAGGAGGAAGGTAAAACTTAAAACATGGCTGGATTAAAACTGTAACTAAGCGAAATCTCAAAATCCCGGATAAATTCCCCTGCCTGGCAACAGTGCAAAGACAAGCTCCTGTATTAGCATTAGAACTGGGCCAAACTGACCTGTAGGCCACTTATCCTATTAACCCAATGACCACGGCACCTTACTCAGCCAGCACTGTGGCGCCGATACCTTGGCAGCTCTCGCCCCTGGGCCACTGCTGATGACCCCAGATACCCTTCCTTGTGTTGACCCCTGACCTTTGAACCCCAATTCATCCCGCTGGGAGCAGGTTAGTCTTGCAGCAAGCCAATTGAAGAAAATATTCAGAAGCTGCCTCGTCACTTCAGTGCCACAAGGCAGGGGGGGTCAAGCCCTTGACCTGAGGGACTTTTGGGAAGAAGCAGCTCGGTGGAAGAGGGTCAAATGCAAATCAGGTGGACGAATCATAGGGGAGGAATGTAGACAACGTGTGCCGCTATGGGGCTCCTCAGTGCAGCATCTTTTCTTAGTGCCTCAGGGATGAAATTTGATGGAGAGCATTGCATCCATTTAAGTAGTGCAGAGAAAAGCACGGACTACAGATGCTGAGTAAGAGATGCAACAAGCTTTCATAGTTCTAAACCTTCATTGTGTCTTCCATTTTGCATCACACCTTTGGAAGAAGAATGCCCATCCTTGTATCCTCCTCCTCCGGCCTCCCACACATTTCGAGTGTGAGGAATCATGAAAAAAAAAAAAAAAAACTGAGATCCAGTTGTTAAATTACAACCTTAGTCCTTTGTTACAAAGTAGATCACTCAGAACTACTGCGACCATAGAGGATGTGTCCATGAATCAAGGCTACCCTGATGCGAAAAAAACCCACATTTTTACAATTCCAAAGGATGCAGTTGCCTTGTGTGCCTGGCACTTCACTGACTCAGAGCACATTTTCTACTGTAAGCAGAGGTGAGAAAAGAACTGCGGTGATATAGGTGACTGTGAAAGACACACGTTAGCAGAAGGCTCGCAGGAGGAACGAAGCAGCACAGGTCATACAGATTTACGCTAATAATTTCAAAGCACGCTGTCCCTTTCAGCCTAAAGGATCTTAAAGACAAATATTAAAGAGCATAACTTAAGACATATCCACATTTAACATGGATATAAACAGGAACAATTGTCAGAGGCACACTGCACATCACAGTCAGCTAAGGTAACATTTTGAATTTCATCTGAGATACCAAATGCACATGATGATGGGCGAGAAGCAGAGAAAATCTGTGTGGGAGGGGATAGAAGCTGAGGCTCAATCCGTCTCTGTGCTGCCGAGGACAAGGAAGAGGAGCACTGTGTGTGTGATTACGACCTCTCTCTCTCTCTCTCCTGCTTGTCCAACAGCTTGGATGGCTGTGCCCCTGGGTCTTGAACACTGAGCCATTGTGCGGGGGCTCTTGCACTCCAAATGGGGCAGTGTTGTTGTTGTGGACCATGTTGTTATTTTAGAGGCTGGCCATTGCGCCATTATCTCTGGTACAGGGATTTTCCGTTTCTTTTTTTTTTTTTTTTTTTTTTTTTTGTTGTCAGATATTGACGTAGGTGTTGATGGAGGAAGGGATGGGGAGCAGAAGGAAAGGGAGCTCAGTTTGGTCCAGAGATGGAGATCTAGTGAAGTGGGTCACAGCTACTGGCTGTTCACACAAAGAAGTAACAAGCACATATGTAAACGTGCCCACCCACACACACACACACACACACACACACACACACACACTGACAGAGAGTGTCCCCTCTTGTGTTGCAAATGCTAACTTCCCCTGATAGGCCTCACATCACACAAGTTCAGCCCACTGGAAACACCCTGTTGCTCCACTTTCCTCCACTCCTCTGTACCCAGGTTTTTTTTTTTTTTTTTTTTTTTTTTTGGGTGAAGGGTATCCGGCGCCCCTAAAGTGCCACAAGGGGGCGGCTCTTGTTCTGCCCTGCCTGGCCTTCCCCCTGGGGGAAGCAGCCTTTCACATGAATATCCTGTTACAGAGGCCACACTCTCAATGAAATCCTGGCGAGGATTTGAACTCCGCCTGTTGCTCAAGTTTGTTACACCCCCTGCAAAACCCCGCCCCTGTCAGAAAAAAAAAACACCTGTAGAGGAAGCTCACATGGGTTAGCTTCCTCTTCAGGGGCAGTTTTAAAATTACATTTATGATAGTGTTTACTAGGTTATGTTTATGCAATTCATCAATGAGTATAGTGATCTTTCTCAAGTTGCTTTCTGAAGTTTTTGGGCACTTTCAAGTTAAGTGTCACCCAGGCCTTTGTGGTTCTCCCAAGTGACCTCACAACAGTTGGTAATAGGATCAAAACAGGGACCTAGTTCTCCAAGCCCCCCCAACCCCCCCAGATCTAAGAGGAAATCAAAATGCAAGTCACACCATACCACACCATTCTTCTCCGTCTGTCTGTGACAAAATTTGCCGAGCCTTTGATCACACAACAACCACTTCTTGGCCCCCCTTCCCTCCCCTTTTTTCCTCTCTGCTACTAAATTATTGGTGGCCCTGGTTACAGACCCCTATAACCCCCCCCTCCCCCCCGCACCTCCAAAACAGTCACCCTCCCTTGCACTCACAATCCCTCTGCATTAAAAGAGCTCCTCTTTTTTCTCTTTATGCACGTTTTGCAAATGCTGTCCTCACTTGCACTTCCGTTCCAACAAGACACCCAGTAATGGTCTAATAATCAGCAGCTTTGTATTTACACTTTACCGAACTTTGAAAATGACTCGGCGTGACTTTAAAGCATTTTTAACTTCTCCAAATGGCTGCATATTTACAAGAAAAAAACCACCAAATCTATTAAATAAAAAAAATGATTTCCTTAACGAAGCAGATATTCGAACAAAATCAATTTTGTTCCTGTTTTGCACCACAGACCAGGAAAGCCTTGTGAACTTGAGGTAAAATGATGCTCCTGGTGTACAAAAGCTTGCTGAAACATGGAGCTCATTGTGCTGTGCACTGCAACAAGGCATGTGGATAAAACACACCACAAACTCCAAACATCAAAAGGCATGAAGGCGGATTGGAAAGAAAAATGTTGCCGGAGCTAAAATGATCAATACAGGCTGCAGATTCAGAACAGAGTTACAGCACTTCTTGCGATGGCATTTGGGTCACTCAGAGGAGGAGTTTCTGCTGTAACAATCAAAGCTGCCTTTTTGTCTGAAGCGTGTGCCAGCCGAAAACAATTTTGACAAGATGTTCTTTGTGAGGCTGGCTAAATGATTAACCAGGCAGGTTTGTTGTTCACTGGGTTTTCTTTCATGAATATTGGAAGAAGGGCTGGCACCTATTTCACATGCACACAAAATGTAGTAGAAAAACCTGGGCATGGCGCCACTCCTCACACCCACCTGCTTCCCCTGCACAGTGCATGTGTTTACGTCTCCCACTGTTTGAGCACAGGCATGTCCAGAGGTTAATGTGCAGCCCGAAACACATCCCGGGTGACCGAGGGGTAACTCAGTGGCATCTCCCACTAACTGCCCGATTGCCTTGAACTTAATCAACCCGGAAGAGAAGCATCCCGCCCACCTCCCTGGGGCAGCTAACCTCCTTTGACCTCCTCCAACACAACTTCCACCCAAAACGTTCCCCTCCCCAGCACAGGCCTTCAACCAACCGCTCAATCGGGGGGAGGTTTTTCAACTTCCTGGAATAACATGCTAGTCTTGCCAAGAGAGGTGGTGTGGAGTTGTGACAAGGGCTGTGGGATGGGGTTGATGTGTCACAGGCCACAGAGCCCCTTACACCACTGAATTCCAGACAATTTCCCGACAATTTCCCAACATTAAGATCCTGACATTTTCTGGACTTTTTCTGAGCTGGAGACTGTTTGAGGTAGACGCATTTTCAACGTTG